TTGGGCAAGCTAAGAAGATTTTTTTTGTCCTAAACCCGAGCCAGTGGCTCAAAGCCTTACCACTTCCCCTGAGTCAGGCCACTCTCACGCATCAAGCCTGCAAGTACTTGAAAGGTCAAAGTCCAATAGTAAGTTCTTTTGTTTGCTGGATAAAAAATCAGCACAAATTGCAACTTTCACTGTCATTTCTTGCCTGTAACGTAGGCTCGTTTACTGCATTTCCACCTTTTTCTGCTTTCAACCGCCATTTGCGGCATCCAATGGGACTCCTATGGTCGCATTGTGCGATCCTCCCCACAGAACGCGTCCATCTTCGATTGTAGTGGCGAATTGGTCACCATCGGGCAGCTCGCATATGGAATTGTTGCCCTTGCAGCATCACCGATTAGCAGAAAAGTTTCCCATTTTTTGTTGCGGATTAATTCTGGGCAGTCGATCCTTCAGAACGCGTCACACTTGTTTTTCCTGACCGGGCAGATCGCGTACTGCATGATTGCCCCTTGAATCATAGGGTTTTTTTATACGGGCCATCATAAAACATTTCGGAGTTATCACGAGCAGTCACGACGCTATCGCGAACGGTCCGTTCTGTTGACTGGAAATGGCCCCGCCCTCGCTTGGGCGAAGCAGACTTCGCAGTCGGGGGCGCGCGGAAGTCGACGTAGACTGCGCGCAGAAGACAGTGCAGACTGTGCGCAGAAGGCGACCTCGACCTGTCCGCAGAGTTCGACCTCGACGCATCTGCAGAGGACGCGGTTGACACGTCCGCAGAGGACGTTGGTCGACGTGCTCGTATAAGACGCTGGTCGACGGGCTCGCAGAGGACGCTGTTCGACGAGTCCGTCGAGGAGTCCGACTTGACGGGACCTGGTCGGTAGAGGAGCTCCTCGACAAGGCCAGTATAGGAGCTCCTCGACGAGGCTGGTAGAGGGCTTTTTTAGGCGAAAGCTGCCCGACGGAGCATGTCAGAATGTGTTATTTGTCTAGTCTGCAGTGGGGTACTCTATAGTGAGTACAGCCCAACTAGGGTTTGCTATATGTATCCCATTGCTTGCTAGTGAAACCCTTCTTCTCCTCTTTTGCCTATTCTCTCTTGCCTAGCTAGCTAAACACTAGCTATGGCTCCTTCATTCTAACTACTATTTTGACATGCTATCAGAGCGGTTACGCTCCTGGCCTGTGGGCCCACTGTTAGCTTCCGTTGCTGTCCTGTCTGTCGCGCGCCCCGTGGCGCGCGACGTTTTTTCTTCCCGCCACGCGCTTGGGGCGCCTGGCGGTTTTCTGCCCGCCGCGCACTCGGGGCGCGCGGTTGTTTTCTGCCCGCCGTGCGCCCCGAGGCGCGCGGCGGTTTCCTGCCCCGTCGACCAGCGCGTCGCCCCCCCGTCGTCCGGCGAAGCGTCCCTCGGGACCTGCGCGTCGCCCCCCGTCACCCGTCGAAGCGCCCCTGGGACCCGCGCGCACCCCCGCCATCCCGGCGCGCCACCCCGTGGGACCCGTGCGCCGCCCCCGTGGACCCGCGCGTCGCCCTACGCCCCCCCCCCCCTCCCCGCACACATGAGTTCGCTTACCGCACACCCGAGTTCGCTTCCCGCACGCTTGTGCACGCTTCGCGCACACCTGAGCTCGCTTACCGCACACTCAGGGTATGGGGGTGACGGGTATGGGGGTGGCGGGTGTGTGAGCCGTACCCTGCTCCTCCTCCTCCTCCGTCTCCCACTGCTGCAGCTGCCGCTGAGGGGGGTGGGTGTGTGGGAGCCGAGGGAGTGATGCCAGGGGGGTGGCGTGTGTGGGAGTCGAGGGAGTGATGCCAGGGGGGTGGCGTGTGAGCAGTGCTAGAGGTACAGTAGAGGGTGTGTGAAAGGGGTGTGGGACAGCTGGGGGAAGTTGAGTGGAGGCAGTTGTCTTATCGTCCGCAGCGCCTGTAGTCCGGGGTTTAGCCTGGTAGCCCAGAGAGCCAGCTGCGCCTGTCGCCGTGTAGTCCGGGGCTCTGCGCCTGGTAGCGACAGTGCTGCGCACTCCTGGGAGCACAGAGAGCCAGCTGCGCCTGTCGCCGTGTAGTCTGGGGCTCTGCGCCTGGTAGCCACAGTGTGGCCGTGTAGTCCAGGGCTCTGCGCCTGGTAGCCACAGTGCTGCGCGCTCCTGTTGCCCGTGTGTCTGCAGCTTCAGCCGTCGCCTCCCATCTTCTCGCCCCCACAGTTTCTCCTCCTCCTCGCTTGCCCACTGTGATAGCCTCTAGCTTTGTTTATCATTGTGAACTATTGCTCTGTCTGCTTGTTGTGCTGATTATACCCCACTTTGACTATGGGGGTGTGTCAGAATGTGTTATTTGTCTAGTCTGCAGTGGGGTACTCTATAGTGAGTACAGCCCAACTAGGGTTTGCTATATGTATCCCATTGCTTGCTAGTGAAACCCTTCTTCTCCTCTTTTGCCTATTCTCTCTTGCCTAGCTAGCTAAACCCTAGCTATGGCTCCTTCATTCTAACTACTATTTGGACAGAGCATTCGCCGAGCTACTCTACGGAAGTCGCGCGACTGCGAAATTCGTCATGTGGGCGAATGTCGCCCAGGAGGTTTTCGCGAAGTCAACCTGCGGAACGGCATCACGTGCTCGACGGTGCGCCGCTGGCAAAACCGTCGGCACGTGTTCTACCTGGCACCTGCGCAATGTGCGTGGCGGTGCGACCGTCTACCTGCACCTACTTGGTAGGTGCGCACATGCGTAGAAGTTCACATGCCTCTGCGGCGCTGGCAGACCGCTGCTATACCACGCTGGCAGACTGCTCTGCTGCAGCGTTGGCAAGCCACTCTTCTGCCGCGCTGGGATAGTGCGCCCTGTAGAGGGCTTGCTAGCTGTTGCAATGCCATTCTAGCTATATCGACTTGCATGCCTCATTGTAATCTATTGTTCTCTCAATTTCTTAGTGAAACTCTTGCCAAAACTCTTTGTGAACGCAGCAAGTAGTGAGAACACTTAGTGCAACGCTACGATCACCCGCACAGCCCGTGCCTTCCTCCGTAGTCCACTCCCGTTGTGTAGTGACTCCCCGCATGGTGCGGTGAGTGTGGACGGCCCCGCAAAGATACCTTCAGAATGGCCGACTTAGGTGCGCATTACCTAATTCGTTGGTAGGCCGCCAGCTTTCGTAGTCGCCATGGTTGACCCCGTAGTTGAAGAGGGCGTAGAGGATACTTTGGAGACTCGAGAGGCTGATGTTAGGAGACGCTATACAGCTGGCGAGTTCGGTGAGGTCTGTTATAGTCACAGTAGGCTCCAATGTGCCTAAAACGAAAGATAGAGTGCACAGTCGGATTTCTGTACAGCGGCTTCAAACGTTCATAGCGTTCTGGTCACAGCTTCAAATGACTTGATTCAACTTGGATCTGGAGCGTCTTATTGTCGCCTACAATAGGCAATTTAGTTCGCACGATTTCACCAAGTATTGACGACACAGCGTCAGTTTGAACGAACGGCACTATGGCAGCCACTATAGTCTTAGAACACAAGATAGGAAGAGTTAGGAAGAGTTACGAGTTGGGAATGACTCCCAGCTCCTACAAACCCCAAGAGCCGAGGTACAGTGATGTGGAACAGTGTCACACTGTCCCCAACCACGAAGGGTCTCGAAACTACTCTTCACTAGGGCCTACACCAACTGAAATGTTACACTACACAAAGTAATGTAACTATCTTCAATCTCTTGAGGTGTACCCTTTTGGCGAGCTTCGCGATCACTTGAATGTTGACACCAGGGGCTCGGGTTCTTCATCACAAACTCATTCTTGAGTTCTTGATGGGTCTGCTGAAACACCTGCGACACGCCGAACGTTCGACAAGCGACAAAATAGAAACCGCGCACGACAAAATAGAAACCACGCGGGACACACAAAACGACCACGTTACACGCGACTAGCGATAATTCGCTATTGACTTGACACACACACTCGACATCATGACCCATCATTCACACACTATTATAAGCATGAAACATATATTTATTTCATGCACTCATTCCATTCCATGCACACACGCATGCACGCACACGGACAACAAGCCGAGTGCAAACCGTAGGGTTGCACCAGCAAGGTCCCCTTGAAGTGGGCACTCCTAGGCCCTCGCGTGCAGTGGGCGCGCGACCACCCACCTCCCCATGCTGCAGCTGACGGCGCGTCTACCTCGCCCCGACCTGTGCGCAACGAAGGCGGAGTCGACGAGCAGGTCGACGGTGGTGACCAAGTCGGCGGAGACGAGGGCATGAGAAGGATGAGTGGAGTGATCAGAGCCGCCGCCGACGGGGTCGGCGGAATACATGCGCGAGTGCACCGGCCAACGGCGGGTGCGGGCAGCTCGCACGGCGACGTCGACGGTCGCCGACGCTTCCCGCAGAGAAGAGGAGTGAGGCATTTCAAGAGGCGGGAGGGGGGAGGGATGCGGAGAAAGCGGGCGAGAACTGGCGGAGAGTGTCTCACAAGAGTACAGTGAGACTGAGCTTTGCGCGCCCGCCGTCGGCAGTCAGGCGAGCGGCGATAGAAACCACAGAAGTTCCTGACCAACATCTGGGGGCTAAGGAAGTAGGAAGGGGCGCAAAGGAGGCGCAGGCGGTGGAGACGCAAGGGGAGAGGGAGGGTGAGCGGTGCGGCGGAGCGGAGGTGGCAGGCGTGCTGAATGCCATGAGGCGGCACCTGAGTGGGCGGACGTGGAGCGGAATGACGACTGCTAGAGCCATGCTGGATGAGGTGAGTGGAGAGTAGGTGGAGCGGGGTGAGATCAAAGGCAGCGGGGAAGAGGAAGGGAGTGGGTGAGGAGGTTTTGGAAGGCAGAGGAGAGACGATGCTGTGAACATGCTGCTATGAGTCATTTCCTGCCTTACTTTTTATTTCCCGTTTCCTGCAGGAAGGCAGGCAACCTCGTTTTCTCGGTGTCCCTCACGCACACTCTCTCTGCTTACCTCGCCCCCCTGTCTCCCCGTGTCTTCCCTGTCTCCCGTAGCTGCTACCCCAGAAACCTACGAATCCCCAAGTCCAGGAGCACATGGCGCTAGCAGAGAGGAAGGCAGGCAACACAACAGCCGCCAGGGTGTGGTACCGCCGTAGCGCCCAGGGCTATGAGGAGGCTCTGGCGGTGACGTTTGGTACCACATCCGCAGCATCCGCCAGGGCGTGGTACCGCCGCAGTGCACAGACCTATGAGGAGGCGGCTCTGGCGGTTAGCACTTGCTCTCCGCACTCACGGGATGCTTTTGTCAACCACCACAGTGACGCAAGGGAGAGGGCCTGCAGAGCTGATGAGTGAAGGAGCAGCAGGGGAGGCTGGGAACCTGAGGAATCACCTGGGGCGGTGCCTGCAGGCGTGGGCCGGGATGGAGGGGGAGGAGGGTGACATGGTTACCAGCAGACAGCTGTTTCAACGGTCAATGGTGACACTGACGCGGGGAGAACCAGGCTACCAGCAACTACAGGAGCAGCAGGGCAGAACAAAACAGTCGGGGCCTATTCTGAAGGATACTGGGAGCCTTGTGATTGGCCTTCACGCCTGGGCCATGGCTGAGAAGCGCGAAGGGAACTTTCAAGCTGCCCGAAACCTGCTGGAGCAGGCAGAGAAGCTTCAGCCGGGCAGCCCGGTGGTTCTGCTATCACGCGCTCTCTTTGAAGCTTCCATGAAGAACATGAGTGCCGCCCGGTGCTATTTCAAGAAGTCCACTGCTGCTGCCCCTCTTGACGCTGCGTCCTAGCAGGTGGGTTCACTCACTGTATCACTGTTCATGCAATACTTCATACGCTTGCTGCTGCTCTCTTCTCACTCTCTCTTCCTCGTTGATTCCTTTCGCTGATCTCGAGCTCTCCCTGTTTGAATGCTGTCCGCAATTCAATGCGTGGCATCGCAATTGCCTCTCATGGAGCTGTGATCAAACAACCCACCACCTCCTCACCCCGCCCATGCACTCCCTCCTATCCCTCATTCCACCGCAGGCATGGGCCCTCCTCGAAGCAAAGGCTGGCCGGGTGGACCGCATGCGAACCCTCTTCCGCTCGACTCTATCAGCCAACCCCAAGTCCATCCCCACACTGCACGCATGGGCGTGCCAGGAGGCCCGACTAGCCACACCCGAGAGCAGAGAGACAGCCAAGGGGCTGTTTGTGAAGTGCTTGGAGGTGCAGACTGGGTGTGTGCGGGCGCTGCAGGCGTGGGGTGTGATGGAGCATGCAGCAGGAGATGTTGAGGCGGCAAGGCGGCTGTTTGACCGCTGCCTGGAGGCTGCTCCCGACTCAGTCCCCACTCTCCAGGTATGCTCCCTCCCCTCTAACCTCACCCCGTATGCAACTACCTTTTTCTTCCCTTGTTGGAATCCGCCAGCCTGCTTTGTAGTGTCGTGTGATCGTAATGTGGCTTTGAGTTGTTCCATGCCCCTTCTCCCTCCACTTGCATATATCACCCCCTCACAACACTCATGCCCCCCCCCACTCTCCTCGCTCCCTCTTCACCGTCGTGTCTCGCAGGCATACGCATGCTTGGAACGGCAGCAGGGAAACTTAGCCAAGGCCTGTTCCCTCCTATCACTAGCCCTCTCAGCCCAGCCGAGCAACGCAGCATCGCTGCAGCAGGCAGCACATGTGGAGGAGGCGCTGGGGAATGCAGCCTCTGCGCATGAGCTCTTTGTGCAGGCTAACCGGGCAGATAGAATGGTGGCAAGAAGGAGACGGGGGATATATGAGTCGGCTAAGGAGGGGAGGCAAGAGGAGCAGAGGAGAGGGGCGGTGCCGCGGTGGGTGGTGGGGAAGATGAGGGAGCGACGGTTGAAGTGGAGGGATAGGGAAATTTGATAGGAGGGAATATACAGGGCTGGAACAGCGAGAGTGTCTGCTCATCATTATAAGCCCGTAAACTGGTTTAGCCTTCGTAACTTCGATGGGGTAGGTGTGCCTTTCAAGCTTAGAACAATTTGGCTCACCGGATGAGTTGTTGCTGATACAGTAGCTCAAGTGTAGGGACTAGAGTGGGTTACCATATGCAGCTCTGCCAACACATCTGCAAGGTGGTCTTTGCTTCAGTGAGTAGTTTGTGCATAGTTAAAGGTCGGGTGTGCTTTTGTATTGATTTATATTGGGTGTACAAATCTTGTATTGCATGCTGATGCCTAGCAAATTTATTGAGTACCGGTAGTACAAGGAACATGAATATGTATGGATTGAGAAGCTTGCTTTCTGTTCTTGCCAAGGCAACATGCTTTAGTACAGCTGGAGTAATTACAACATTCTCGTCCAACTATAATGATACAAGTATACAACTCGGCGAATATTAAGTTGCCACAGCCTTACAGCGTTACAGTAAGCTGCGCTTCACAATACGCATTTTTAGAAAGTGATTTATTAAAAAATCAGCAACCGAACATTCCATGATCACTGTGCACAACCAGAAGGAGTCGTGCTCCAAGGGAAATGATTGATGACATGGAACCATATATTTTCCCATGAGAAGCATTCGTTGTTGCGGGTATTCAAGAAAAAAAATAACGTATCTTTTTCTTATTAGAAGTGAAAGCCTCAGAATTTATTGTAGTAAATGTTTATTTATTCCCGCCGCCTTCTGCGGCAACCAATAGGAATCCAGCTGACGCGTTACACTTTGGAACCACTTTGACTTCCTTGTAGTGAAGTTTTAACAAATTTCTCTGCCCTCTATGGCGACCAATAGGACTCCAAAGGACGCGTTGAATGTTGCGAACCATGATTGCTCTCACTTGACATGTTTATTCAATGGGTTTCGAGATGGCTCTGTGGGTTGCAGAGAGTTTAAGCGTAGGCACAGTGCGGTGGCAAATTTACATATGGCCCTCGGTCATTAGTCGTCTGTACTTTACCGCGTTCTTTTTTTTCAGGAAAACAGCAATCGAGTTGAATTATTGACATAGTTTTATTGACGGTATCGTAATAAACCACATTGCATCGTACCGAAACCCCAGAATTCACACCGTCTACCTTGGTTTTCTTCAGCGGTCATGCCAGAGTTTGTTTGGGGCAGACAAAAATATCGCGGATTTCGCGGTGGCACGAGTGCAGCGTGAGTGACGCAAACAGTCAAACACATCTCGGCGGTTTCCCTCCATGCAGTCGAGCTCTTCCTTTCGAGCTATATATCCAGTAGGTAAACATGCTGTAACCATCAGAGTCTCGAATCTCGTTTCAACTTTTACCGCAAAGTTCTCACTCTCCCATTGAAAACTTGTCAATCACCTTACATCGCCATGGCTCGCTCCGCTCTCTCCGTCGGCCTCGCGCTCTTCCTCGCTGCATTCCTGGTGCTCTCATGCGTCTCATATGCCCAAGGTACGGCCCGAACCTCCGCAAAACCCAAGCAATATCCCTGGCGCCGCGTTCACGATTGCGCCTTCACTTTCGCCCCCGCTGCAGGCCAGCCGCTCCGACGCGCCACACTTGGTTCAATAAGGTTTATACAAGCTTTGGCATCTCGAGCAGCTTTGTAGTTTCTGGATAATACCCATATTAGCATTCGCTTGGAGCAGCTTTGTTCTTTAGTTGTACGCGGCTCTTGATTCGCTCTGCCTGACTTGTCCTTCTCCCCTGAATTGACCACACCATTCATCTCGTCTTACGCCTTCGCTCAATCCTCCCGTGAATCCCCTCTATCCTCCCCTCCCTCCTGCCTCACTTACATCCCATCTGACCACGCATCCCATCTCACTCTGCTTAGGCCTCCTCCGCTTAACGTCCTCTCTACCCCTCGCTCCTCTCACTCCCCTTAACCTGCCCCTACCCTACCAGCAACGAGCGAGGCGACAGGCGTTGATGCAGCAGAAGACGTGGCGAGAATCACGCAGCCCAACAAGGCCCACGAGCAGCGCCACCGCAAGCTCCAGACGACGGCTGATAGTACGTATCATGGGACTAGTAACCCAATTTACCAGAACACGATCCAAACTTCAAATGAACGATTAGGCCCTCTCTCGTCTTCCCTCATTGCATTCTATCCGGCTTTCCAGAAGGCTAAATCTTCCGTAATGCTTCTGTCAAATGTTATATCTGCTACAGTTTGTTTAGGCTGTAGTGGGGTAGCTACTATGGGGTACAGTAAGTTTAGGGTTTCCTACTTGTACCCAACTCTTTCCTAGTTCAATCACTCTTGTTCATTCTGACATGGTATCACGAGCCTAGGTTAGCCACCTAGGACCGCTTACTACTACGAGCCCACCATTCCGCTAGAAGCGCCCTCGTGCGCCCTGCCTTACGTGCGCCCTCGTGCGCCCTACTCTGCTCGTGCGCCCTCGTGCACCTTCTTTCTGCTAGTGCGCCCTCGCGCGCCCCGCCCTTCGTTCTGCCCGCGCGCCGTCCTCTGCCCGTGCGCGCGTGGCCCGCTAGCCACCAGCGCGCCGCCTGATCGACGCCCGCGCGCAGCCCGCTAGCCGCCCACGCAGTTCGTACCGGCCTCTCGCGGCCCCTTGAGCTGCCCGCGACCTGCCTGCACGTAGGCCGCCACCCGTAGGCTGCTTGCCGCCCGTACGCTGCCCGTAGGCCGCCCTTACGCAGCCTGTAGGGCGCCCGTACGTCGCCCATAGGCCGCCGCCGCCCGTAGGCCGACGCTCGCGCGCAGGCTGTACCCCGCGCGCCACGGCTGCTGCACTCCGGCGGTTGCAGCCCGCCGGGACCCGCGCGTCGCCCCTACCTCTTCGCGACGCCCTTGCGGGCCCCGCGCGTCGCCCCCTGCCTCTTCGCGACGCCCTTGCGGGCCCCGCGCGTCGCCCCCTGCCTCTTCGCGACGCCCTTGCGGGACCCGCACGTCCCTCCCCGCCTTGTCGCGACGCCCCTACGGGACCCGCGCGTCGCCCCTGCCTCTTCGCGACGCCCCTGCGGGACCCGCGAGGCGCGGCTCCTGCGCGTCGCGCCGCCCCAGCGGGACCCGGGCGTCGCCCCCGCTCATCGCGACGCCCCTGCGGGGCCCGCGCGACGTCGCCCCTGCCCGCCGCGTCGCCCTGCAGTACCCCGCGCCCGCCCTGCCCGCCGCGTCGCCCCTACCCCGCGCCTGGTCCCTGGAGCAGCCGTCCCTGCAGCAGCCGCCCCTGGCCCCTGGAGCAGCCGCCACTGCAGCAGCCGCCCCTGGCCCCTGGAGCAGCCGCCACTGCAGCAGCCGCCCCTGGCCCCTGGAGCAGCCGCCCCTGGAGCAGCCGCCCCCGGAGCAGCCGCCACTGCAGCAGCCGCCCCTGGCCCCACCCTGCCGCTGTAGCGGCCCCGCAGTCGCCTCCGTCGTGCGCCTGCCCTTCCCACCACTGGTGAGCACGTCCCTACCCGTACTGCTACTACTGTTACTGCTGCTGCTACTGCTACTGCTGCTCCTGCTGCTACTGCTTCTATTGCTGCTCCTGGCGTGGCCAGATGCAGCTCCAGGGCCGTCCGCGTGTGTCCCTCACGCCCCAGCAGCTTCGTGAGTGGTACGCCCGTTGGGGTTGTCGGGGTGGCAGTAGTGGGAGTCGTCCTGGAGTGCGTAGTTCGGGAGTTTCTTGTAGTGGCTCGGTGCCGCAGCAGCGTCGTCTGAGTGAGACTCGTTCGCCCCAGCAGCTTCGTGAGTGGTACGCTCAGAGTAGAGGGTCGCTGCGTACTGCTCGCTGCCTGTACGTTATTCGCACGGGTGTCCGGACTGGTCAGCCTTGCGGGACGCCTGGTCACACAGAGTCTCACTGCTTCGCCCGTCTGAGCGACGCTTGGCGTACAGAGTTTGGCGACGATGCTGAGCTCCCCGACTGGGTGGAGCTGCTTAGGCAGAGGGTAGATATCCTTGCTCTTGACTATGATGCTATTCTCACTGCAATGTATGCATTGTCTACTAGTGCCGAGGGAGCCTGTCACCTGTGTGTGCCGCCTGACCCCGGTATCCAGTCTGCTGCTCCAGGTGCTGGTGAGGCTACTGCTCTAGGCACTCGTGAGTCTGCTACTTCAGGTGCTTGTGAGTCTGCGCCTTCAGGTACTACGTCTACTGAGGCACTGCACACCTTCACACTGGACTCAGGTGCTTCCCGCTGTTTCTTTCGCGACCGCACTGCCCTCGAGCAGCTCCCTAGGCCGGTTGCTGTCTCCCTGGCTGACCCCTCCGGGGGTCCGGTCCTTGCGACCTCCACCACTGCCCTCCCTTGTCCTGCTGTCCCGTCTGGCACACTGTCGGGCCTTTACCTCCCCTCGTTCTCTACGAACTTGGTGGCGGGCTCCGCGCTCCAGGATGCGGGTGTTCACCAGTTCACCCCTGCCTACAAGCGTGTGACGCACTACACGTGTGCCCAGACGGGTCGTCACCTGGCTACCTTCACTCGGCAGCCGGGGTCGGACTTGTACACACTGACCACTGAGTCCCCTCAGGTAGCTGCGTCTGCGTCTGCGTCAGGTCAGTTGTCGGCCCCCTGCTCGTGTCGCTCCCTGTCACACCAGACTGTCCTCTGGCACCACCGCCTTGGTCACCCGTCAGTGCAGCGCCTTCGCGGCATGCACTCCCGGTACCTTGTCTCTGGTCTTCCCAGGGTTCTCCCTCCCCTCCCACCCTCGCCTGCTCCTCCCTGTCTTCCCTGTGTCGAGGGGCGGCAGCGTGCCGCTCCTCACTCCTCCTCGTTCCCTCCCTCAGAGGCTCCCTTGCAGACTCTCCACCTGGACGTGTGGGGCCCAGCCCGCGTCCGGGGACAGGGCCACGAGCGGTACTTCCTGCTGGTCGTCGACGACTACACGCGCTACACCACGGTCTTCCCCTTGCGTACCAAGGGTGAGGTCCCTGATGTCTTGATCCCTTGGATCCACGCTGCTCGTCTCCAGCTCCGCAAGCGGTTCCA